TGATATATGACTAAGGTACCCGATCAAAACCCTAGAAGGGGATTATGTAAGGCCTTGATGGATGGATGTCATCTTATGCTTTACGCGTAGGCCAGCGTCAGGACTAGACGGCAATGACGTTTGAGTGACATCTGTTGAATATTCAATGAGAAAGGGATCGTCAAACTTAGGGCTTCCAGTCATGGCACTTAACCCTAAGTGCTAACCCTAACTTTCATCCCATGAGGAATCATGTAACCCTTGATGCCTGGATGTCATGTTTTGATGTACCTGTATTCGTATTTCTGATATATAACTTCCAGGGTATAGGGTACAGGGTATAGATATAGAGTATAAGTATAGAGTATAGGTATAGAGTATAGGTATAGGGTATAGGTATAGGGTAAAGGTATAGGGTTAGGGTATTAGGTATAGGTATAGGGTAAGGGTATGAGGTATAGGTATAGGGTATAGGGTATAAGGTAAGGGTATAAGGTGAGGGTATAGGGTATAGGGTATAAGGTAAGGGTATAAGGTAATGGTGTAAGGTATAGTGTATAGGGTATAGGGTATAAGGTAAGGGTATAGGGTATAGGGTATAAGGTATAAGGTAAGGGTATAAGGTAATGGTGTAAAGTAAGGGTTTAGGGTATAGGGTAACTGTCTAAGATATAGGGTATAGGGTATAAGGAAAGGGTGTAAGGTAAGGGTGTAAGGTAAGGGTGTAAGGTAAGGGTATAAGGTAATGGCGTAAGGTATAGGGTATAGGGTATAGGGTATAAGGTAAGGGCATAAAGTAAGGGTGTAAGGTAAGGGTATAGGGTATAAGGTAATGGTATAAGATATAGGATGTAGGGTATAGGGTAAGGGTGTAAGATATATGGTGTAGGGTACAGGGTATAGTGTACAGGGTATAGTGTAGGGTTTAGGTTATAGTGTAGGGTATAGGGTATAGGGTATAGTCTAAGGGTATAAGGTATAAGGTATAAGATAAGGGTTAGGGTTAGGGTACAGTGTAAGGGTATAGTTTAAGAGTATAAGGGTATAAAGTATAAGGGTATAAGGGTATAAGGG